TTTTTTTTTTTTTTTTTTTTTTTTTTTGGCCAACATGAAAAAAAAAACCCCTTTTGCAAACATTTTTGTACATTATCTCTTTGGTTGAAAGGGGAATATTTCTGTAGGATAGATTCTTAGATTCACACACATACATAGTCACATATCAAACTAATTTGAATAATCCTGTGCATTCATATATTTAATCTTATACATAATAAATAACATATCCTTAATTTGTTTACACCACTGTTATTTAGGACTTTGGTCTGATAGTCAGACCCAGTCTGAATTGACCATATGCCAAATAATACAGCATCAAAATGCTTTTGTTTGTCTTCTCTCCACTTCCTTTGTCCAGGTTCAATTTCTGTTAGTTTAGTCTAGGACTCCAGATTTTTAAAAACTATGTAGTATTTTTCAAGAATTACATTTTCAGTGATTTTTGATTATATTATCAGGGATCGTTTTGACTTCACACAGTGTTTGACTGGTCTCTTGCATACCCCCAGCTCTTTTACCATAATCTCAGTTCTTTTTTTTTTTTTTCTTTTTTGTTTATTTATTTATTTTGAGAGACACAGAGCATGATCTGGGGAGGGGCAGAGAGAGAGAATCCCAAGCAGGCTCTGTTATTAGTGTGAAGCCTGACACGGGGCTCAGTCTCATAAACTATGAGATCATGACCTGAGTCAAAATCAGGAATCAGACGCTTAACCGACTAAGCCACCTGGGCACCCTATAACTTCTCCATTCTTAGTTCTCATTTTGATTTATCTCTTGATTGGCTAAATTATTTCTTTAACTTTTTCAAGAAGATCACATGTACTGAATATACATTTACGTGGCTTTTGCATATGAGTGACATCTCTGATAATATTAATTCATTTTTTATTACCTTAAGAAATTTTGTGTCTATGCCATGCCACTGTCTTTCTTTTCCTTCTCTCCTGAGGAAGTAATTCTTCTTCATTTTCTTTTTTTAAAATTTCAGGTCGAATTTATAAGCATTCTCAGCAACCTTTGATTACATATGAGAAACATAATGTGATAGACCATCCAAAGAATGTGGGAGGCTCCCGTTCTTTATTCCTTCTGAAGGCTCATGGTAAGTTACTGGGATAGCATTATTCTACTCTGTGGAATAAATTTACCTGATGACTTGGTACTGGCTGGATTAGGAATGGTGGTGACCATAATTTATTTATTTATTTTAAAATGTTTATTTATTTTTGAGAGAGAGAAAATGGGAATGAGGGAGGGACAGAGAGAGGGATAGATAGAGGATCCGAATTGCCTCTGCACTGACAGCAGGGAGCTTGATGTGGAGCTCAAACCCACAAACTGTGAGGTCATGACCTGAGCTGAAGTTGTATGCTTAACCCATTGAGCCATCCAGGCGCCCCAGTAGTGGTCATAATTTAGCAAAATTTTCATAAATCTTCTATGTTCAAATATTAACATTTGCAGGTAGCAGTGTCTATCTTAATGTTTGCAAATTTTTATTAAAACTAGAGAGTAGGGATCATTCAGTGGTTTTAACTCTGGCTGCACATTAAAGCCACTAATGGAGCTTTTAAGACATCTATAATTTTTCAGGAGTGCCCTAGTTGTTTCTAACTATAGCCAGAGTTAAGTATCACTAAGTTAATCAATTTAATTTTTGTGAGACCTTAATTATGATGTTTATTAAAATAAAGCCTCATCGGGGCGCCTGGGTGGCTTAGTCGGTTAAGCGTCCGACTTTCGCTTAGGTCATGATCTCACGGTTCGTGGGTTCGAGCCCCGCGTCGGGCTCTGTGCTGACTGCCAGCTCAGAGCCTGGAGCCTGTTTCAGAGTCTGTATCTCCCTCTCTCTCTGACCCTCCCTGCTCACGCTGTCTCTCTCTCTCCTAGAAATAAATAAAACATTAAAAAAATTTAAAAAAAAAAATAAATAAAATAAAGCCTCATAATAGAAGAGTGCTTTGTGATTTTGATTGTTTAATAGTAATTTAGTCTCAAAGATACAGTTTTGTTGAAATGAATAATGTACAAAGTATTTGAGGGTATACACATCACTCAGTGCTGTATGTAAATATTGTATCCTTAAAATGATGAAATTAACCACGTCGGAAGAGCAGTAGTCTAAACACAAGGCTCTGGTTCTACGGATAAAAGTTGACTGCATTTGAAAAGTAGCCCGTTTTATTTTGAAAAGATGGGATTTAAAAGTAGGGGAATAGTGTCGTGTATAGTATACTATTCTTAAGTAGTAGTATTGGGTGGGGCCATCTTTCCTGATTTGGTGTATTTCCTTCGTATTCTCCAGAATTAGTCCTTCCGTAGAGTTTCAATAAATGTCATCATTTACATGTCTCAAGTTAATCTTGAGAATAACTTTATTATTGATAGTTTGCTTCTAGTAGTAGCTCCAGATTGACAGTAATTGGATTCACATGTAACATGCCTATTTGTTTTTCATTGTTTTTTGGCATGAGAAGCGAGAAGATGCTGAGATACCTGCAGTAGGGCTGTCTTAGGGTAATGGATAAGAGCACAGTTGCTGAGGGGTGCCCGAGTGGCTCAGTCGGTTGAGTGTCCAACTTTGGCTTAGGTCATGATCACACAGTTTGTGGGTTCGAGCCCCATGTCAGGCTCTGTGCTTACAGCTAGCTCAGAGCCCGGAGCCTGCTTCAGATTGTGTATCTCCCTCTCTCTCTGACCCTCCCTGTTCACGCTGTCTCTCTCTCTCTCCCAGAAATAAATAAAACACTAAAAAAAATTAAAAAAAAAAAAGAGCATAGTTGCTGAAACCAGAGTGGGTTTGAATCCTGACTTTGTAACCTTAGGCATTACTTACTTCTCTTCACTATTTTTTAGTCTCCCCAACCAGCAAAAGTGGAATAATAATTATAACTATTTCATGAGATTGTTGTAAACATCAATTAGATTAATACATGTGAAGCACTTAGAGGCAGTGCCTGGCACACAGTAGGAGCTACAGAAGTGTTAGCTATTAGAAGTAGTAGTGGTGGTGGTAAAAGCTGCGGAATATGGGATGTTTTTGGGTTATGCTTACATTCATTGAATGTATTTTGTTCGTTGTTTTCTATGTTCTTAGTACTTGGCTTGGTCATTTAGGAAACAGCTTGGTTTGTGATGTCAACCATTCTATTTTCTCACCCGTAGGTGCTTTAATGTTTGTAGCATGGATGACTACCGTTAGCATAGGTGTGCTCATGGCTCGGTTCTTCAAACCTGTTTGGTCAAAGCCTTTCTTTGGTCAAGCAGGTTGGTTTCAGGTAGGTGGAAGAAAAAGCTTAATGCAATTTCCATATTTTTTAAACACTGCAACATGAAAACATATGTAGTATGTGTGTTTCTTTTTCTTTTTTTGTGGTTTACAGTTGTCACTTGGGAATCCTAATAATTTCTACATTTTGCCCTTTGGTTTCCTAACCAACTGAAAATAGACAATAAGATATTTGATGGAGATCAAAATAGAGACAGTTTTATGAGGATCAGGCTGGATTGGAGAATGTATGAGGGCCATGCGCATCCCTTTGTAATACAGACTTTGGGACACAGAAGATCCTGACTTACATGTCTGTTGGCCGAGGGGAGAGCCTGCAAGAGCATTCACTTCCTGCACTGAATATAGATGATTCTAGGAGGATAGGAGAACAGAAGAAAGAAATAGCAGGGGTCTGTCCTGGTTGATGCTAATCAGTGTTAGACTGTCCCTTGCTCACTAATCAAGATCATCTATCTCCTCTGTGGGTGGAAAGAAGAGCTAGAAGTGTTCCTTTTCATGGTGCCCCTTTGCATGGGATGAGGAGGCAGTCTCATAATAGAAAGACAAGAGTCAATAAGCACCCCTCAAAACAAAGCAAAACAGGGGCGCCTGCGTGGCTGTCGGTTAAGCGTCCGACTTCGGCTCAGGGCATGATCTCACAGTTTGTGGGTTCTAGCCCCACATCAGGCTCTGTGCTGACGGATGGCTCAGAGCCTGGAGCCTGCTTCGGATTCTGTGTCTCCCTCTCTCTCTGACCCTCCCCTGCTCACGCTGTCTCTCTCTCTCAGAAATAAAAAATAAAACACTAAAAAAATTTTTTAATAAAAAAATAAAAAAAACAAAGCAAAACAAACTTTTTCATGTGTCATAAGGGATAGTTGCACATATAGTGGAAGATCAGTGAGTATGTGTTGAGATAGAATGTACACGTATGCTTTTGAAAAAAAAATACTCTTTATTGAAAGAGTTTTAACTTTTTAAGGGGTATTCTTGAAATTTTATATTCATATAAATTTGTAGCCTTTAAGACTTACCTTATCTAGCCTCGTTTCTCACTATTGGCTGGCAGGGTCAATTTGTTTTATTTGTTCTTACTACTGCTATGTACTTTGCTCCTCTCTGTCTCTGCCTTTGGTTTCTCTCTCTTTCTCCTCTCTGTCTTTGTCTCTGTTTCTCTCTCATCTGCTCATGTGGATATTCCCAACTGGAATATTCTTTGTGTCTTCGCTTTACCAATTCAAATTCTCCACTGCTTTTAAAACTATGATGTCTGTGTACATCATGTGGTATGTAGAGTGATTATATGTCCTTCTTTCCCTGGAATAGTTTTGGTTTGCACCATTTATCCTGGCATACTCAACTGTTACTCCACTCTCAATGTTTTCAGACAATGAAAATGAATTGACAATGAATTGACATATCATATATGTTTCTCTCATCTACTCAGTTGTTTCCTAAGCTCGTGGGGAGACAATAGTCCTGTTTCCTTGCTATCTCACTGTGTCCGGTAGAGCACTGTGCTTGGTACTGGTCCTTAATAAAGGAAGGAAATTTAAGACTTGGCAAGTAGGTGTGCTTTGTGTATGAAATATCTATTCCGGCTGCTCTGTGCTGGTGAAGCCTTGGCAAATGCTTTTGACTGATGAGCATGGCGGCTTAGAATTTTCTTTAAAGTTCAGTCATTTAGTAAAATATTTTAAAACTCACTGCAGACTGTGATTAGATGTCAGTCGAATGCATACCTTTAGTGAATCTCTCCCCGTGATCTTTTCCCCACAGTTACGCCAACTCCTTTCACATACATGATTAACTCTGTTCTCATGGTGTCATTTCACCCTTGCAGGTACATCGGATGCTCATGCTCACTACTACTGCCCTCACCTGCATTGCTTTTGTTCTGCCTTTTATTTACAGAAGAGGCTGGAGTTCAGTAAGTATCTCTTAAGCAGGATTTGTTTAATATAAATTCATTTTGATGACCAAGGAGATTGCTGCTTTATTCTCAAATGATGGGTAAAAAGATATTTCTGCATGCATCTCTCTTTCTTTCCTTTTTTAATCATCTGATGACTATTCCAGATGGCTGGGGGTCAGGGACAGAGTGAGGATGTCATTGTGGATTACTGGGTGATGAAATATACTTTTTAGGCTACATCAGATGTTGTATATATTCTACATAGCTTGGGTGAATTTTCTCACTGTGGAGCGGTGAAAATTCAAAGTGTGATATATCTGTACGTGGTTTTCTCTAACTCATACTATGATTACCACTAAGCCTACATGAGAGCCAGGATATTTACTATTATATTCACTGATATATCTTAAGCACCCAGAGCAGATTCTGATACATAGTAGGTCCTCAGTAATTACTGAATTAAGGAATAAGGCTTACTGAGAACACGGGATATACCTAAGGTCAGAGCCTGTGCTCCATTAAATTTTTCCAGTTTTACAGCCAGTCAGAACTCAATATCAAAATTTAATACAGTAAAACCTTGGATTGCAAGTAACTTGTTCTGTGGGTGTTCTGTAAGACAAGCAAACATTTCTAATAAATTTCAACTTGATAAATGTGCAGTGTCTTGTAATACAAGTATTACACGATGCTGAATGTCACATGATCACCTCTGAGCCAGTGGCTCTTGAAATTCGCTTTGCTATACAAGTGCTCTGGATTACAAGCCTGTTTCTGGAACGAATTGTGCTCACAAACCAAGGTTTTACTGTATTTTACTTTGAGCTGTTGCTATAAGGTCAAGACTGATGAATCTTGGGTCACTAGGAAACCTCCCTCCCGCTTTTTGGGTAGTTTCTAGATTGGTCGACCTGTTTTTTTAAAGGAAATTATGAAGGTTTTCTGATATGAACTGTATTTGGGTTAAGGGTTAACACTTATTTTAAAAACTCTGTAGTTTGCACTCTTTGCAGTTTATGGATAGGATAGTATAAAGGAGATAGTATAGTAGCAATGTCATAGGCTTTCTGAGAATAGAGTTAAATTAGCTGAAAGCACTTAGGATAGTTCCCTGCACAGTCTAAAGACATACAAGAATTTTGTGTCAGTCGTTACTGTTGTTTTATGAGGTAGAGGCACTCTCCCTCTCCATGGTCCTGGTTATCATTTTATCTGTGCATAAGTGAGTCCATGGCTTGAAAGTGTTTTTCTAATGTTCTTTTGTCAGCTTATTGTTCCTGTTTACCAAAGCTTCCTATCATGGCTTGGAAACCACTATATCCTTCTTCTAGATCACAGATTTTAGAGTCCACCCAAGCACGGCAGTCAGTGACAACAGACTGTAATATTCCCCAATCTAAACATGTCACAGATTAGAACATTGCCTTAGTTTCTCTCTTAAATGTTAAGTGGAAAAATTGTGCTAAGTACTAAATTGTGCTAACACAGTCTGCTCTTTTGAGCAGGCATACAACATCTCTGAGAGAGGAGTGTAGCCAAAACCCTTGAGATACTTTGTTGAGGTTTTTTTCTCAGGTTAGACCTTCATTCTGAACAGAGGAGATAAGGTTTTAATGCAATGGCTTTATAGGTTATTAATTTAATCAGCATCCATTGAATGACTAAGGTTCTATTAAGCATTTCAGTTACAAGGAATCATATATATAGAACCTTCATCTCAGGGAAACACAGAGGTCTGAACAAATAATCACAAAACATTGGGATGATTGCTCCTGACATGGGGATCCTAACTAGTCCTAGGTGGGCTTTACTGGGTTAGTGTTGGTGATCATCTAACATCCTAATGGGGGAGACACAGCACTCTGCATGGCTTCCACCAGCACCGTTTATACACTGCGTGGTATTGGACACATTGCTTGATATCTGTAAGTCTCGGTTCCCCATTTTTTTTTAATGTTTTACTTATTTCCGAGAGAGAGAGAGACAGCATGAGCAGGGGAGGGTCAGAGAGAGAGGGAGACACAGAATCTGAAGCAGGCTCCAGGCTCTGAGCCGGCAGTCAGCACAGAGCCCGACGCAGGGCTCGAACCCACGAACCGCGAGATCATGACCTAAGCGAAAGTCGGACGCTTAACCGACTAAGCCACCCAGACGCCCCTCAGTTCCCCATTTTAAAAGTGGGATGTTGATAACTGTCCAGCATTGTAGTGAGCATTAGTAATAATGTCTATAAAGTATGTGCCTGGTATAAAGTAGGCACTCAGTGAATGGTGCCTATTATTAGTGGTAAGTGTTTAAGCTACAGAAAACACTAAGAATACATCTGTGTGTATTATTTTTAATGCGAGGATTTAAACTGATGGGAGAGATTGAGACCATTGAAATGATGTAACTTTGTTCAGTACGCAGGTTATCACCCACACCTTGGTTGTATAGTGATGGTTTTAGCAGTTCTTCAGCTTCTTCTGGCAGCCTTCAGGCCACCTTTATATGACCCAAGGTATTTATAGCTTTTTAAAAAAAATTTTAAATTTTTATTTATTTATTTTTAGAGAGAGAGACAGAGTGCAGATGCACATGGGAGAGGGGCAGAAAGAGAGGGAGAGAGAGAATCCCACTGTGGTGCCCAATCTCATGAATGGTGAGATTATGACCTGAGCCGAACTGAAGAGTTGGATGCTTAACTGACTTAAGCACTCAGGCCCCCCAAGTGGTCTTAACATTATTTGGCAAACTAATTCCCTTTTAAGTGAAAATACTTTGTGCTTCATGAAATTCAGCGATAAATTATATTTACTTTAAAAGGTTTTTAAAATGTATTTCAGATATTTAATTCCCAGCAATAAAGGAAATTGCATGCTTTTTATTCTCTTGGGAATTAATTGTAGTTCTGTCTCTTTTGAGAGTACTGACTGGTTCTTTATTTGGTAGAAGGCAAATGTTTAACTGGACTCATTGGAGTATGGGAACAGCTGCTAGAATAATAGCAGGTAAGTAATTGTGATGCCACTTATTCGTATATAATTGCTGGTTGTTTATACTGCAAGTTGTAATTTGGCTTAAATGATTTTTAGATGTATTAGTAATTGGAGTAATTGGTTGTTGAGGAGAAATCAGCGTTAAACATTGAAATCCAGAAAGTAATTTCTAGAGGTAACTATTTAAATCATTATTTCAGTTTTCAGTTTAAGGTTTTTAAAACAGCATTAAAACTTTCCTTGTGAGACTTATTTTTTTTTTTAGCATTTGTCTTTGCCAGCAGAATAAGCAAGCTATGCTAATGGCTGAATGCTCATATTGAGGGTCATTTGTGAGGTGGGCTGAGGTGGGCTGTCTGCACATCCTTTCCATGGGGATGGTGCCTTCCAGGGAAGGTGATTGTCAAAAGTCAAGTATGGTTATCCAGTATATTTTTATGCCTTATATAATAAATACCTAAACTGACACCCCCTACTCTCACATTTCTGTAGTCTTTGGGGCTTCTTCGTGGAGGGAGGAGTACAGTTAGCAGTGATTTCCATACTTTTCTCCCTTCCAACATTGGAGACTTAAAACTTTTTGGAAAGATTGAGTGTCTCTTTTTAAACAGTTGGTAGATCTTGAGTATAATTTCCCATCGTACCATTTCTAGTCTTACAATAAAAAAAGAGTATTTCATCTTAAGTGTTAATCTAATTCATCTCATAAACTCTTACTGTGTTTTAGTTGATGTAATACACACACATGTACACACATAATCACCTCTCTTGGTGGTGACTGTATTTGAATATATATATTTTCTTCTAAATGTAGTGGCAGAAATGTTCCTGGGAATGGATTTACCAGGACTGAACCTTCCTAGCCCATGGAAAACCTATGCAATGATTGGATTTGTAGCCTGGCACGTTGGGACTGAGATTGTTCTGGAGATACATGCTTACCGACTTTCTCGAAAAGGTAGCCTGCTCAAAAAGCCATGTTACATAGAATCCCTTTTATACAAACTCTTGGAATGTAATTAGTTTCCAGATACTAATGGTTGACTCTTACTTGATAGCTCCCTAAAGATGTCTGTGATGATTAGTCAGTATTAGAACTCATGGAAGTAGCCAGCCTTTGTTTTTTATACTTATTAGTATTAGAATTTGTGAGTAAAAAGGAGAACGATTTTAGGTTTTAGGAAAGAAGTCTTTTTTGGTAAGTACTTTTTATGTTGCATGCTGGTCTAAAGCCAGTACACTCTGAGGATCCTGAATGCGTGGAGCTGAGGGAACCCAGACATGGAGGAAGAAGAGATGCCCAAAGTCAGCAGAGGGCAAAGCTGCAGATGGATTTTACCTATTTGATAAATTTACTGTGTGCTATCACTTAGGTTTCCATATGCATAATATATAGCTAGCTAACTAGGCAGCCTAACCAGGAAGAACTTACTTTACCCAAGCTTTCTAGTGGCAAGGTCCATTTTGGTCCTAGTGGCAAAGATACCTGTGGCCATTAGGAATCAAGGTACCGATAGGCATTAGGAGTGGAGAAATTAGTAGACAGTGGGTGATATTTTAAACTAGCTTGGCTTCTGAGCTATGTCTTATTTAGTTTCCAACCCCCTAAATGATAAGTAAAGGTGGCCTTCTAAAAACAAAACCTCTTTGCTTTGAATGTGGGAGCTTTTCGGAGCAGAGTGGTAAAAATCTATGCTGCCACTTTCGGTCTTTGATAGGGTCACATAGATGAGGTTTTTGATGACCACTGAATTACAGCTTGCTGTTTAAAATACAAATGTACTTAAAATGTGGTTTGTTAAGACTTCAAAATGGTGTTTATTGACCAGAAGAAGAGGCATATTTTAAGTTCCCTGACAAATGTGTGCTGTAGCCAGCTTGTCCCAATTTGTGAGAGCCTTACATATTCAGGAAGTTTGCAACATTTGGTAGCTTGAAATGGGAGAATATATACCCTCGAAATCAGCAAATACTACACATCAGGGCTTTTTTTTTTTTTTTTGAGAGTTAGTTTACTGGCATACTGACCGGACTTATAAACTTATGTTGTTCTTGACAGTTGAAATATTGGATGATGCTAGAATTCAGATCCTTCAGTCATTTACTGCAGCTGAAGCAGAAGTAAGTCCTTCTTTTCTCACTTACTGACAAAAACCTTAATGATAGCAGTTTCTTTCTTTCATATCTCAATTTTTTTCTTGCAGGGGCATGCTTTCAAAAAGGTGGTGTTAGCAGTTTACATCTGTGGGAATGTGACTTTTCTCATCATATTCTTATCTGCAATCAATCATCTATGAGCAAACAAAGACCTTGGCTTTGCCGACCAGATGATAATTATCATTAAGCCAAAGAAACTTGAAGCCGTACTGATGGCCTGGAGCATATTCCTGAATTCTCATTTGGAAGACCAGGCCATGTCTGTGGAGAAATTCCAAAGTATGGTCCTTAGGGATCAGCTTTCAGCAGAGTCCTATGGACTCTAAAAAGGATATCAAGCCTTTGTGTGTGATTCTGAGTGTTAACCAAGGAAGGTTGTGCTTGAGGAGAAGTGGTTCTCAAATATTTTCTATGATGTTAGCATTTAGGAAAAGAACTGTCTGGAAAGGCAGAAATGGTGTCATTTGGATGAAAATAAATATATTTTGGACTATAAAGGTGCTGTGGTACTTTAAAGAAAACATCTATACTAGTTTATCAGAATGGTCTTTCTTAGGACTTTTTGTGAAACTATGTTTTTCATTCCAGTTTTTTGGACATGTCCTTTTTTCTATGCATTCTGTTACTTCTCTGGTAAAGGTGGAGGTGGGGCTAGCATTGTATTAACATTTAATTATATTGTGAATATTATAATTTCTTTCTTAGCAACAAAATGCAAATGTGCATCTTCTGCTTAAGACTGTAGTTATAGGAGTTCCTGGGTGGCTCATTCGGTTAAGCATCCAACTTGATTTTAGCTCGAGTCGTGATCTCACAATTCGTGAGGTCAAGCCCCTCACTGGGCTCTGTGATGACAGCATGGAGCCTGTTGGGGATTCTGTCTCTCTCTGCCTCTCCCGTTTGTGCTGCTTGCTCTCTCTCTCAAAATAAATAAGTATTTAGAAAAAAAGACTGTTTATATATTCAGTTACAAGGCTGAAATGACATTTTATATGTTAATTATTTTGACTAAGATTCAAATCCTAGCTTTTGGAGATTGTAGACTTGTATTTCAAAATTAATAAACTTTACCCTTGTAAATATACTCAACAGTTACTTTCTTTCACTGTGGTAATAAATAATATGGGTGGTTCTTTTTTGTTGGAAGTTCCTGATGCTGTAATGAATTAGAATGTCAGTGTTGTTTTCCTTTCTACTCCATTAATCTCTTTAGTGGCTGGGTTTCCTGTCTGCTATGAGGACTTCTAGCCAGCGGGTGGCACCATAATACCAAAGTACTGTTTTGTTCCTGTTACATTGTGCTGTCGCTCGTTTTTAGTACTTGGATAAAACCATGGAGTGGCATTTCCCTTGATTCTGCCAACACTTAATTTGTTTTTGTAAAGTTTCTGCCTTTTTTGTGGGGGCAAGGGGGTTGGGTTTGTGAGTTAGAAACTGAAACTAGGGACTGTTATTATTTTTTCTGGTTACATTTTTCTGTTTGTTTTCTAATCATGATTATTTGTAACAATTGCTCAATAGTTCCCTTTACATTCATCTGACCCTGTAATGAATATAACTATCTTAAGCAGAGGAAATAAACAAAACTGGACAGTCCAGTTAAGAAGGCATGTTTTGTTTTTTAGGTGTTCTTTCTGATTATGTTATAGTTTCTGCTTGGTCTAAGGACCTAATTTGTATTTGGCGTTAATAATAGCCTTAGCTGTACCTATTGTATTGGGTAAAATGATTTTGAAGTTTTACTTTTGTTCCTTATATAGGTGTTTATCATAAATAGTTTAGGGTTGAGATGTGAATCTTCTGTGTTCATGGTTTGTGAGTGCCAAGCTACTTACAGTCCAAACTTTCCTTTTCAATAGCTTTCCTTTTCAATAGCTTTATTAATCGTATAGAAAAGTGTATACTAAAATATTTTCCTCCAGTTTTCAATTATAAGGGGCTTAAAAGTTAATAAACTTTTAATGAATTATATTCTGTATATGACAAAAATTCTTTTAAGGGAAAAATGAACCTATTGTGTTTAATTTTCAACCAAGTGGACTTACTAAATTTCCAGCACTGAGGCTAAGATATTTCAACTTTTTCTTTTTCATTGATTCACCTTTTGGCACTATTTTGATATATCATCAATTAATATATAGAGTTGCCCAAAAAGTCTTTTCTTATTTAATCTTTTTAAAAAATGTTTTATTTATTTCTGAGAGAGAGCGACAGCATGAGCAAGGGAAAGTCAGAGAGAGAGGGAGATACAGAATCTGAAACAGACTCCAGGCTCTGAGCTAGCTGTCAGCACAGAGCCCGACACCGGGCTCGAACCCACGAACTGTGAGATCATGACCTGAGCTGAAGTCGGATGCTTAACCGTCTGAGCCACCCGGGCGCCCCTTTTCTTATTTAATCTTAATGCCATTCTATTAATTCGAAATTATGATTTTTCTGTTTATGAATCATTAATATCCACGGATTGAAAAATGCCTATTCTTCACTCCTGTCATCAGTTCTTGTTTTTGTAATAAACATTTTTTTTTTTTTAACTTCCTTTGCTAGGAGTGATAACACTGAATGCCTTTAGGTCTTCAGCAGTGTTGCTCCAAACTGTGATCAAAATCGTAACTTTCAGGGCGTCTGGGTGGTGGCTTAAACGTTCGCGTTGGACTCGATTTGGGCTTAGATCATGATCTCTCACAACCGTGAGATCGTGCTGGGTGTGGAGCCTGGTTAAAATTCTCGCACGCGCACCTGGGTGCCTCAGTTGGTTAAGCGTCTGCATTGGGCGAGCTTCTGCCCCACTTCCGGTGAGCACGCGCCACGCTTTGGTTGAACAGGAGCCTTGCTGCAGGTGAGTACGAGCCCCGCTTCCCGCTTCCGGTGAGCCCGCTCCTCGCTTTGTCTGAGCAGGAGCCCTACTTCAGGTGAGCCCTGCTTCTCTCTCTCTCTCCCCCTCTGCCCCTCTCCCCCTCCCTCTCCCCCTCTTCCCCTGGCTCACTGGCGCCTTCTCTCTCCCTCTGCCCCACCCCTGCACATGCACCGACTCTCAGGAAAAAAAAACTTTTTTTTAAGTTTTCTTTCTAAAGATGGTTTCCATTATAACATGAAAATAATTATGTTTTGGGGGGAGGTGAAGAAACAAATTCTAGAAAATTGTGGTTGGGAAGCATTCACCAACTGAGGTTGCTTTTTGCTTTTATTATTCTTTGTGGAAGTAAATTTTAAAGGGAAAGGTAGCCTATGGCGTAAGTAATTAAATAAATGAATTCACCTTAGCGCTTACTTAGTTTCTATCAGGGTTTTGGCTGTAATGTGTGTGAAGTGATATTCATCCCCTCCACATCCTGCCTCTAGTCCAGGATGCAGTGTAAATCGACGATGCCAACTGGCAGCTGTTGCCAACTAAGAAGTTCTAGGGGCACGTGTAGCTTTTGGCTGAAGTTGTATTTATCTACGTACTCTGGGAAAGCAGGAAAAAAAAAAAAGAACAAAGGTTCTTGTTTAAGATAATCCATTATAGATGGGAATGAAAGATAGGATTCTTTCAAATTTGATTAGGATACACACTGTTCCTATCCATTTCCGGCTTCTTTTCTCTTTGCCCAGTACCCAGGTCACTGATGGTCATGAAGATGCCTGGGATGCCCACTTGTTTCCTTCTTTCTAGCAAAAGCTAGTTTCTCAAGTTCTGTCTCAAGATCTTCCTCATCTTTGGAGCCTTCCTTGGCTCTTCCTTCCACATGGGTGACTCCTGACCGTCCTTACAAGTGGCATGGTAGTGGGCTAGGAGGCAGCCAATCCTGTCAGCTCCAAGGGACTGGGAGTTTGGGGATGGAGTTGGAAGACCTGCGCATGCGTGTTTGTATTACAAGCCGCCTGTCCTTGGGCAAATGACTTATCTTCCCTGATGCTCATTTCTTCATCTGTAAAGCCCACTCACAGGGCAGTTGTGACGAATGAATGAAGTGATTCCAGCAAAAGGTTCTTTGTACACATTGTTGATGATGTTGTTGCTGTTTGATTACAGTGTTAAACTTTAGTTGTTTTTACATGTGAAATGTATATTTTTGTTTCATAAAAAATTTTGATGTTTCCCTTGAAAACAATATGCTCAGTGAAATAGCCAGGTGTAAATGGACAACCATTATATAATTGTATGTATTTGAAGTATCTGGACTTGTCAAATTCATGGAGAAGAAAGTAGAATGGTGATTTTCAGGGACTGAGGGAGAGGAAGGAATGGGGAGTTAGTGTTTTAACAGAGTTTGTTTGGGAGATGAAATAGTTCTGGAGATTGATAGTAGTGATACTTGCATAACACTGAATATTTAATATTTAGTACACTGAATTGTACATCTCAAAGCAGTTAAAATGGTATATTTTGTGGTATGTATATTTTTACCACAGTAAAAAAAAAAGAAAAGGGTGTTCATAGCAGCACTATTCACAATAGCCAAATGGCGGAACTAGCTCACATTTCCATCAACAGATGAACAAATTGTGGTGCATACATACAAGAGAATACTATCAACCATAGAAAGGGGTGAGGTACCGATACATGGTATAATGTGAATGAACCTTCAAAACCTTATAGTAAGTAAAAAGTCACATGTAAAAGGTCCACTTATATGAAATAACCAGAATAGGAAAATCCACAGAAACAGCAGAGTGGTGGTGGCCAAGGTCTTGGGTGTCAGGGAGGAGGGTACGGAGAGTAATTGCGTACTGGGAATAAAATTTCGTTTTGGAGTGATGAAAATGTTTTGGAGAAAGAGGTGATAGTTGTACAACATTGTGAATATAAGAAATGCCACTAAATTGTCCCCTGTAAAGTGGTTATTTTATGTTGTGTGACTTTCACCTCAGTAAAACAAATATTTGTCTTATTACTGCTTTTAGATTATACCTTTTGGTGGAAAGATTTAGGGTTTTTGCTGGCTACATGTAAACTTGATATCAGCTTAAATTATTTCATTATCAAAGAAGTTAATGTAATTTTATTTTATGCTTAGTCATATACCTCTAGTTTAGGGTAGAGAAAGATCTTAGAACATTTCTTTAGAAGTATATCTTCATATGATGTCTTATTCATGTGTCAAAGAAATTGTTATTGTACTCTGGGTTTCCTGTAAGGACCTAAACATATTTCTGATTTGTAATCAGACACTGATCTATGGTAATCAAATTCTTGGGATAAGAATTTCCTGAATCCGTACATTTTAAATATGTACTGTCAATATTGGCTGATAATGCCAATAATGGCTGAGTGAGATCCTGCCAAACTGAGTCTCCTTCAGAAAACTAGTGTAAATTTCAGAAAGTAGCTACTTGAAGGTCCTGGAAAGTGAACTGAAGTAGGAAGATGCTGGTCAGGAGTCCATACTCAGAGGAGGAAAATTGTTTAGAGTGTCCTGTTTTCCAAGTTTTTAGCTTTGGGGCAGTTGTAGTCAACTGTCTGTGTGCTGCTAGGTGGCAGTGCATAGGAAACCAGAGGACTGATAGTTAGGCCAACTGCCACTGTCAGGGGGAGGGACAGGATGATTTTAGAAAGAAAATACAAGAGAGGGTATTCCAATTCCTATTTGCCCACAACTCTGCTTGACCCCTAGATATGTTCATGTGCGTGAAGCAAACATAAAGCAGTTAGAGCAAAGAAAATGAGTAGCTGACCTGAGATTGGAGTTGTAACACAAGAAAGAGTTTGTAGTCTGATCCAGTTAATTGCCTGCTAAAACAAAAGAAGCAACATCCAGTGGAGAAAAATAAGAGAATCCAGTATTTTTATAACCTAATATTTTATGATGTACAGGTGATAATCCAACATTATCTGACTTAA